TGTGAGCACTGTAGGCAGCTCCTGGTTGGGTACTGTGGTAGTATAAATACACATATCAGAGGGTTGGGTACTGTGGTAGTATAAATACACATATCAGAGGGTTGGGTACTGTGGTAGTATAAATACACATATCAGAGGGTTGGGTACTGTGGTCGTATAGATACACATATCAGAGGGTTGGGTACTGTGGTAGTATAAATACACATATCAGAGGGTTGGGTACTGTGGTAGTATAAATACACATATCAGAGGGTTGGGTACTGTGGTAGTATAAATACACATATCAGAGGGTTGGGTACTGTGGTAGTATAAATACACATATCAGAGGGTTGGGTACTGTGGTAGTATAAATACACATTTCTGTTGTATGATAATGAATATAAGTAAAAATTCTAACCAACAGTTAAAGGTTAATTTACATTTACATTTTAGTCATTTAGCGGACGCTCTTATCCAGAGCGACTTACAGTTAGTGCATACATAATTTTTTTGTTTTAGTTAGCCCTATTGACTTACTATGGACTTACCCATTCACCGAACCTTCCTCCTTCTAGCCAGGACAATTTTAATAGAGACGAAACAAGATGTACACAAAGCAAATGTTTTACTTCATAATTATCAGCTAGCTATATGTGAATCGTAAAATAGTGTAGCTAACCAGATAGTATAACAGGCAAAAATGACCTAAAACCAAGGTATATATCAATTCTTGGTGGGTAGCTAGCTAACGATTCTTCGTGGCTATCTGGCTAGCTAACAGTAGCTAGTAGCTAGCCAGTTAGCCCTAATGACTTACTATGGGCTTGCTGTCTATGCAGGTAACCGTGCCAAAATTAACACAGCATTTATTTATTAACTTATCAAGATAAAATATTGTAGTCAGGCAACATATGAGATGTGAATAGACAACATTTTAATTCCGAAGTTGGAGAAGTATTTTCTCTCGCTTCAGCTCTCGCCACCATTGATTTCAAGAAAATGTGCGTAACAGTTTGTTGTTGCGTCATATTTAAATAATATTTATTTGCATACTTTCCGTTGAAGCCTCGACGCATGCTTCAAAATATGTACAAATTGAGTATGCATTCGAGAAGTGCCCTCCATGCTCCGTTTCACATTAATTTTAATTTGGACTCGTACTCCGACCCTACCGTGCTCCAATTTGCGTGCTCGGAGCACGGTAGTATGCATTTCGAGAAACACCCCCAGTGACTGTTGGAAAGCAGACTGAACCAGGTTTTCCTCTAGGATTTTGCCTGTGCTTATCTCTATTCCGTTTTCTTTTTATCCTAAAAAACGTCCTAGTCCTTGCCGATGACAAGCATACCCATAACATGATGCAGCCACCACCATGCTTGAAAATATGAAGAGTGGTACTCAGTGATGTGTTGTGTTGGATTTGCCCCAAACATAACGCTTTGTATTCAGGACATAAAGTTAATTTCTTTGACACATTTTTTCAGTTTTACTTTAGTGCCTTATTGCTAATGGGATGCATGTTTTGGAATATTTTATTCTGTACAGGTTGATCCATCCTCAGTTCTCCTATCACAGCCATTAAATTCTAACTGTTTTAATGTCACCATTGGCCTCATGGTAAAATCCCTGAGAGGTTTCCTTCCTCTCACGTAACGGAGTTAAGAAGGACGCCTGTATCTTTTGTAGTGACTGGGTGTATTGATACACCATCCAAAGAGTAATTAATAACTTCACTATGATTTTTTATTTTTACCCATTTTATTTTTACCCATCTACCAATAGGTAGAGGCATCTTTGTGAGGCATTGGAAAACCTCCCAGGTCTTTGTGGTTGAATCTGTGTTTGAAATACACTGCTCGACTGAGGGACCTTACAGATAATTGTATGTGTGGGGTACAGAAATGAGGTAGTCATTCAAAAATCATGTTAAACACAATTATTGCACACAGTCCCTGTGTAACAGGTCAAATAATTACAGATTTTTGCAACCGTTCATTTTCTATTTTTTATTTTATTTTGTGAGTTGATTTCACCAAAATATTGTATTGTTCAGCATTTCGTGTAGTCTACAGATATTGGGAGAGTTAGTTGTGTAAGTGCGCCCTCTAGAGCTGGTTTGGTTATATGCGGAGGGAGGTCATGCTTTTCTCAGTCTGCATTCTACTCGACTGAGGGAGGTATGTGTTCACTTCGGCGTGATATAAACTTGATATACCTGTTAAAACTAAAACGTTTCAGTGCACATAGTAACTTGTATGTATATTATATGATGAGTGTACGCACATTTAATCAAGCTGTGTCGTGAATTTAGCTATTTTTGAGAGTTTGAGAAATTGCTAACTTAGCTAACCTCGTGTTTTGTTTAGCTGTAAGTTAGCAATCGTCATTCTATCCTCTTGTGTTGAAGCCCACGTTGTTCTTTTTATGTTAGGCGGATTCTGGTCGAGGGTAGAGTTTTGAACATTTTCTCTCTTTGATGTTGAACAGGTATGTATTCCCTATATCAGGTTAAAAATATGTGTTCATTTAAAATGTTTTCATGTATTGATTAGTGTTTAATGGCACTGAAAAGCTCAAATGTGAAGGATTACATGTTGCTTCGTGCATATTACTGTATGTATTACCTATTTGAAAGATGGTTTATGTCATGTTGCACAGTATTAATGTAAAGGCTAAAAGCTCAGAGTTTTTGGCAGAGATAACATGCAATATGACACATACATAAGATATACACCAGATGCAATGTTTATTTTCCAATTATGTTGTATTTTATTCCTTGGATTTTTGAATGTGATTATATTGAGTCTGCATTCTACTCGACTGAGGGAGGCGGATTCTGGTCGAGGGTAGAGTTTTGAACATTTTCTCTCCTTGATGTTGAACAGATTGAGAGAGTTGTACACAATAAAGTGCCTTCAAGTACGCCAGTGTCTTGTCTTCAGTGCACCGGAACACAACGCAGTAGTCGGCAAGGAGCAGACCGCGCCGGCTACACCTGCAGCTTATTATTTGACTTGTTAAGCACATTTCTACTCCAGAACTTATTTAGGCTTGCCATGAATACTTATTGACTCAAGACATTTCAGCTTTTCATTTTCTTATGAATTTATGAACATTTCTAAAATCACAATTCCACTTTGACATGATGGGGTATTGTGTGTGACACAAACATATCAATTTAATCTATTTTAAATTCAGGCTGTAACAACACATTTGGAAAACGTCAAGGGGTGTGAATACTTTCTGAAGACACTGTATACAGTCTATTCACAAACCTATCTGCTGTCCCAATGCTCTGTCTGAACGTTAATACGCCTCGCTTTCGATAAGGTTTTGGAAACATTTGGAACTTTAATTTTCTCGCTGATATGAAAGTTATCTAATACTAAAAATACACTTACTGTGCTCAGATTTAGCACAGCTGCACACTGTTCTGAATAACAACTACTTCCTCCCCATTTGCGCTGCAATGGAAGAGTGAGCGTAAGGTGGAAGTGTTTTACGTCGCCTGCTGAAAGCAACTCTATCTTTTGTGTTAGAAAAATTAAGTTCCAAAGGTTTCCAAAACCGTATCGCAAGGGAGGATTATTAACTCTTCTAAATGTTAAAACAGAGCGTCGGGATTTTAGTTCACATTGAGCCAGCTGTGATCCATATCTTCAACTGAGAACCCAATGACTCCCGAGTGGTGCAGTGGTCTAAGGCACTGCTAGAGATCCTGGTTCGAGTCCAGGCTCTGTTGCAGCCGGCCGTGACCGGGAGACCCATGGGCGGCGCACAATTGGTCCAGCGTCGTCCAAGGTAGGGGAGTGTTTGGCTGGCAGGGATGTGGGTTCGTTTCCCACGGGGGGGCCAGTATGGGGGGAAAAAAACAAAAAAACAACATGTATGCATTCACTAACTGTAAGTCGCTCTGGATAAGAGCGTCTGCTAAATGACTAAAATGTAAGAGGGATGGCTGTATGCCATCTCCAATGGTCCACACATGGCTGGCTGTGCTTTGCTACCACAGAGAAAATAAAGGAAGAATGTCCATTAGGATCCCATAAAACTGAGGCAGTATGAGAACATATTCAAGTAAGTAACTTCATTTAAAAAAAAAAAGTGCTATTAGCTAACTAAATAGTTAGCCTAAACAGTGGCCTACTTTAGGTAACTCAAATGAGCTGCCATAGCTAGCTAACGTTAGCTAACTTGACTTGTATATAGCTAGCTAAGTGAATTAAATATAATCAGCTAACTTCCTATCAGCTAGCTATCTTTTGATGTATTTATCATTGAAAATTAAAAAACACAAGCGCTACATGCATTTATAGATAACCGCTTTGGAAGAGGGTGAAATTGCAGCTCCAGCTGTCAGCAAAGGGAGAGTGCAGGCTACTGGATAGGGCAGGTCATTTAGTGGGAGGACATTATGAAAATAATCTCCAGTTCCAGTCCCTAGGTGAATTATGAGGACAGAGAGATAATAGCAACTAACTTTGAGTATAATGCAGCTTTTTTTCTTTTGTGATGAAAATGTGTCGGATTTTTCTGACTGAACAAGTTTATGAGGCTGCTTTGAACCACAGCTCAAAACTAGAGGAAAGACGGTTGTTTAACGTGAGAGGCTCAGCCATGTTAGGACTTCACGCCCGGCATGTGTCACAACGCTGACCAGGAAACAAGCCACATACAGGGAAAACCACAACTTGGCTGCTACAGAGCTTTTCATCCCTGGTCTGCCACGCCCATAGAGTGTATACAGTAAAGCCACACCCACTAGAGTGTATACGCCATGTCCATAGACCACGCCCACTAGAGTCAATGATTACACCTCTTCCTTTTCAACTGAGGCGTGTGAGAAGCGTGTGTCTATTTAAGCTGTGAGCTGCTGCTGAGACACATCCTTCTGTTGATCAGCCGTGTGCAACTCCTGCTCCTTAGCTGTGGTGTTAATAGATACTAATACCACAAAGAAAATACCACATACAGGGTTCAATGATTTTTTTTAACAAGGTGGTGCTACTGAGTACAGCGGGATGGAGGACATTTCCTGCAATCTAAAGCAAAGAAATACTCTATTAGGGTGTGGTGCCTTAAATGATAACAAATTAAGTTTAAAAAATCACAGTGGAGCAGCCAGTCCACAAGGTGGCGCAGCGCAACTCTTACATTCTTTGAGGAGAACCCTGACATAGAAAGATAATACCCGACAAGTCATGGCTTGTGTTCGGTTGTCCGGGTCTCAGAGATTCTTCAGGAACTTATCTCTGATCCTACTGAGTGGATCCGTCTCTCTGCTCCTGTGGGCCGCTCTCAGACGCCCGACGGGCTCTGACAGGAGTCCTCTCCCCGCTCTGGACCTCCTGCCCCTGGGCTACGCTGCCGACCTGCCGGCCTGCTCAGCCATCATCCAGGGAGACCTGGAGGGTCTGGAGAGGGAGCAGCTCAGCCTCCTGCTGAAGACCAAGAAGAAGCAGCAGCCGTTGTCAGAGGCGTTCTACCACAATGTGACTCAGGACTGTCAGAGGTACGTTACAGAAAGAGGGTTTATCACCCTTCCTCTCAGCCAGGAGGAGAAGGAGTTCCCCATCGCCTACTCCATGGTCGTCCACGAGAGGATCGAGATGTTTGAGCGGCTCTTGCGTGCCGTGTACACTCCTCAGAACGTGTACTGCGTCCACATCGACCAGAAGTCATCTGAGGACTTCAGGACGGCAGTGAGGGCTATCGTGTCTTGTCTGCCTAATGTGTTTGTGGCCAGTAAGTTAGAGAGTGTGGTCTACGCCTCCTGGTCCAGAGTGCAGGCTGATCTGAACTGTATGGAGGATCTCCTGAAGTCACCTGTCCAGTGGAGGTACCTGATCAACACCTGTGGATCAGACTTCCCCATTAAGACCAACGCTGAGATGGTTCAGGCCCTCAAGCTGCAGAACGGGAGAAACAGCATGGAGTCAGAGACCACCAACGACTATAAAAACAGCAGATGGCAGTTCCACCACAAAATCACCAGCAACATGGTGGTCAAGACGAACGTTAGAAAGAGCCCTCCTCCAATCAGCACCCCCATGTTCTCTGGCAACGCCTACTTCCTGGTCTCCAGGGCCTTTGTCCGTCACGTGATGGAGTCTCAGGAGGTCCGGGCGCTGTTGGAGTGGGAGAAGGACACCTACAGTCCCGATGAACACCTGTGGGCCACCCTGCAGCGCATGCCCTCTGTGCCAGGATCTAACCCTTCCCACATCAAGTACCATGAATCAGACATGAACGCCATTGCTCGCATCGTGAAGTGGGATTCCCTGGAAGGAGATGTGAGGAAAGGAGCCCCATATCCACCCTGCTCGGGTGTCTCCAGGAGGTCCATTTGTGTCTACGGGGCTGGAGATCTCTGGTGGCTCCTACAGCATCACCACCTCATCGCTAACAAGTTTGACCCTGAGGTGGATGATGTGGCTATCAGGTGCCTGGAGTCGTACCTGCGCTTTAAAGCTACATACCGTGTATCACGAAGGACAGCGGAATCTGAGAGTCTCTTACAAAAACGATGAAATGTTAAAAGTCGTAAGTACGTTCATGTGTATTTATTTAAATATGTTTTGAAATGTTGTATATTTCTGATGGTACTGTAAAGAGGGTTGTACACCTTCCTAATATTGAGTTGCACCCCCTTTTGCCCTCAGAACAGCCTCAATTCCTCGAGTCATGGTCTGTACAAGGTGTCGAAAGCATGTTGACTCCAATGCTTCCCACAGTTGTGTCAAGTTGGGTGGATGTCCTTTTGGTGGTGGACCATTCTTGATACCCACGGTAAACTGTTGAGAATGAAAAACCCAGCAGCGTTGCAGTGCTTGCCACACACTTACCCCGTCTGCAGATGAAGAGGTCCCAATGAATGTCCTAAAAGAATAAGGGAACATCCTTGTGATTCTGGTGGTTATATGGGTACCTATGTTAGCAAATGTTGTATACAAAAAAACACAGAAGATGTATAAACCCATTACCCTGCTTTTGGAGGTCTGCTGTGTGCAGGGTTCTGTTCCAGCCCAGCATTAAGACACCTGATTCAACTTACAGTGCATTCGGAAAGTATTCAGACCCCTTTGACTTTTTACACATTTTGTCACGTTACAGCCTTATTCTAAAATGGATTACATTGTTGTTTTCCCTCATCAATCTACGCACAATACCCCATAATCTCTGCGAATGTATAAAAAATAGAAAACTGAAATATCACATTTACATAAGTATTCAGACCCTTTACTCAGTACTTTGTTGAAGCGCCTTTGGCAGCGATTACAGCCTCAAGTCTTCTTGGGTATGACGCTACAAGCTTGGCACAGCCTATTCCCCCTCAGGAGACTGAAAATATTTGGCATTGGTCCTCAGATCCTCAAAAAATTATACAGCTGCACCATCGAGAGCATCCTGACTGGTTGCATCACCACCTGCTTGGCCTCCGAACGCAAGGCACTACAGAAGGTAGTGCGTACGGCCCAGTACATCACTGGGGCCAAGCTTCCTGCCATCCAGGACCTCTATACCAGGCGGTGTCAGAGGAAGGCCCTCAAAATTGTCAAAGACTCCAGCCACCCTAGTCATAGACTGTTCTCTCTGCTACCGCACGGCAAGCGGTACCGGAGTGCCAAGTCTAGGTCCAAAAGACTTCTCAACAGCTTCTACCCCCAAGCCATAAGACTCCTGAACAGCTAAGCATGGCTACCCTGACTATTTGCACTGCCCACCCACCCCCCACCCCATCTTTTTACGCTGCTGCTACTCTGTTAATTATTTATGCATAGTCACTTTAACTCTACCACATGTACATATTACCTCAACTAGCCGGTGCCCCCACACATTGACTCTGCATCGGTACCCCCCTGTATATATATAGCCTCCCTACTGTTATTTTATTTTACTTCTGCTCTTTTTTTCTCAACACTTTTTTGTTGTTTTATTTTACTTTTTTATTAAAAGTAAATGCACTGTTGGTTAAGGGCTGTAAGTAAGCATTTCACTGTAATGTCTGCACCTGTTGTATTCGGCGCATGTGGCCAATAAAATTTGATTTGATTTGTATTTGGGGAGTTTCTCCCATTCTTCTCTGCAGATCCTCTCAAGCTCTGTCAGGGTGGATGGGGAGCGTCGCTGCACAGCTATTTTCAGGTCTCTCCAGAGATGTTCGATAGGGTTCAAGTCCGGGCTCTGGCTGGGCCACGCAAGGACATTCAGAGACTTGTCCCAAAGCCACTCCTGGGTTGTATTGGCTGTGTGCTTAGGGTCGTTGTCCTGTTGGAAGGTGAATCTTCGCCCCAGTGTGAGGTCCTGAGTGCTCTGGAGCAGGTTGTCATCAAGGATCTCTCTGTACTTTGCTCCGTTCATCTTTCCCTCGATCCTGACTAGTCTCCCAGTCCCTGCCGCTGAAAAAAACATCCACACAGCATGATGCTGCCACCACCATGCTTCACCGTAGGGTGGTGTCAGGTTTCCTCCAGACGTGACGCTTGGCATTCAGGCCAAAGAGTTTAACATTGGTTTCATTAGACCAGATAATCTTGTTTCTCATGGTCTGAGAGTCATTTAGGTGCCTTTTGGCAAACTCCAAGCGGACTGTCATGTGCCTTTTACTGAGAAGTGGCTTTTGTCTGGCCACTCTACCATAAAAGCCTGATTGGTGGAGTGCTGCAGAGATGGTTGTTCTTCTGGAAGGTTCTCCCATCTCCACAGAGGAACTCTGGAGCTCTGTCAAAATGACCATCGGGTTCTTGGTCACCTCCCTGACCAAGGCCCTTCTCCCCCGATTGCTCAGTTTGGCCGGGCGGCCAGCTCTAGGAAGAGTCTTGGTGGTTCCAAACTTCTTCCAATTAAGAATGATGGAGGCCACTGTGTTCTTGGGGACCTTCAATGCTGCAGACATTTTTTGGTATCCTTCCCCGGATCTGTGCCTCAACACAATCCTATCTCGGAGCTCTACGGACAGTTCCTTCGACCTCATGGCTTGGTTTTTGCTCTGACATGCACTGTCAACTGGGGGACCTTATATAAACGCGTGTGTGCCTTTCCAAATCATGTCCAATCAATTTAATTTACCACAGGTGGACTCCAATCAAGTTGTAGAAACATCTCAAGGATGATCAATGGAAACAGGATGCAGCTGAGCTCAATTTCGAGTCTCATAGCAAAGGGTCTGAATACTTATGTAAATAAGGTATTTCAGTTTTTTTATTTTTAATACATTTGCTAAAATTTCTAAACCTGTTTTCACGTTGTCATTAATGGGTATTGTGTGTAGATTGAGGGAGAAAAAAGTTATTTCATCCATTTTAGAATAAGGCCGTAACGTAACAAAATGTGGAAAAAGGGAAGAATACTTTCTGAATGCGCTGTACCTCCAACTCTGGTATGGCTTCCTCTCTTTTATACCTGGAAATCATACATGTGACATTTCTACCTGGAAATCATACATGTGACATTTCTACCTCAATCTGTAATGAAGGAATAAAAAGGGGGGAGACTGCTCTAAAAAGTGAATGCATCCACACTTTGGTTTTGGTAGAAAACCTTTACTTTACTCAGCATAGCGTGGGTCAGAAGTTACGCATCACACTATTACAACAGTGGGACTGTTTTGGAATTACGGTTGCTGAGTTCACATTCATTAATATCCCACAAGGCCTAGTGCCTCTGACTCAGCAACTCAAAGAAGTAACACTTGCATTTCCCTTGACCAGCAAGTCAAAATATTTAGTATGACGTCTCATAAAGGCCTCACATTCATTACAAATATGTATACATCTGAATGAAATGGAGGAAGATGTATACATCTGAATGATATGGAGGAAGATGTGTACATCTGAATGAAATGGAGGAAGATGTATACAACTGAATGAAATGGAGGAAGATGTACTGTGTACAACTGAATGAAATGGAGGAAGATGTACACAACTGAATGAAATGGAGGAAGATGTATACAACTGAATGAAATGGAGGAAGATGTGTACAACTGAATGAAATGGAGGAAGATGTGTACATCTGAATGAAATGGAGGAAGATGTGTACATCTGAATGAAATGGAGGAAGATGTATACAACTGAATGAAATGGAGGAAGATGTATACAACTGAATGAAATGGAGGAAGATGTTTACAACTGATTCAAATTGAGGAAGATGTAAACAACTGAATGAAACGAAGGAAGATATTTACAACTGAATGAAATGGAGGAAGCAATCAAATGTCAATCAACTTTCCACCTATGATTTTGCCTCTAACACACTAACTGGAAACCAGAAGATGGCATATAATGGATGTTTAATTTACTGGTGTTGTTTATGTTGGTGTATTCTGTAGTCTGACCACTGCTGAGTTTATTTCCAGTAATAGAAGTAGTTCACGGTTAGAGTTGACAAGGCTGTGTATGTAGTGTTAGAAAATGTGTTTAATAACAACACTGTGGTCAGAGCAGCACTGGGCTGATTAACACCTCAGCAGCTGTAGATTCTTCAGTTGAGGAGGCCTTTTCTCAGTAAGAGTAGGGGAGACTGGGGAACAAAGTAACACTTTTAGGCTTTTGCTTATTATGAAAATGTTATTTAAGTTAAATGTTACAATTGACCCAGTAGGCAAATGTTACACAGGTCAATAATAAAAAAAAATTAAAAAGGAGAGGCGGCAAGTATATTTACTTTAGGGCCTCAAATCACTTTTTATGTCAATAAAACTAAAAGTATCAATGGATTTAAACAAAACCTCTTGGGCATGTAGAGACACTAACCAAGCATTAGCACCTTGAATAAGAGCTTTAAGTGGTTTCTAATTGGAGTTATTTAGCGGTTACAACTGACCCTGTGTTACTATGTTCCCCAGGCTACCCTACCTTCATGTATAATATTTAAAGTGACTGCTTTGCTAAAGTAAAACATTTTTAACTTCAACTACCATAACAGTTTTAAAGAGCTGAAGCAGGTTACACAATTTTACTTCATGTAAAATTACCTTTCTATTTGGGATTTAAAGGTGTGGACATTTATTTGCTAATTATTTACATAAAGTGTTGCCTTGAATGTTGGCTTGTGGGACGTATGATATACTATGAATCAATGTCTTATTTCATGAAAATACAGAAATCCTTTGTTTCAGGGAAACATATGTGTTTACTCATGAGTGTGGGGAGGAGTGCCCCTTTCTGTCCAATGAGGTCATTTCTGGACAATACATCACCCTCTTCTGGTCTTGGAGGCAGGAAGGACATCACCCTCTTCTGGTCTTCACCCCACAAGGGCAAGGACAGTGATGAACTGTGAGCACTGTAGGCAGCTCCTGGTTGGGTACTGTGGTAGTATAAATACACATATCAGAGGGTTGGGTACTGTGGTAGTATAAATACACATATCAGAGGGTTGGGTACTGTGGTAGTATAAATACACATATCAGAGGGTTGGGTACTGTGGTCGTATAGATACACATATCAGAGGGTTGGGTACTGTGGTAGTATAAATACACATATCAGAGGGTTGGGTACTGTGGTAGTATAAATACACATATCAGAGGGTTGGGTACTGTGGTAGTATAAATACACATATCAGAGGGTTGGGTACTGTGGTAGTATAAATACACATATCAGAGGGTTGGGTACTGTGGTAGTATAAATACACATTTCTGTTGTATAATAATGAATATAAGTAAAAATTCTAACCAACAGTTAAAGGTTAATTTACATTTACATTTTAGTCATTTAGCGGACGCTCTTATCCAGAGCGACTTACAGTTAGTGCATACATAATTTTTTTGTTTTAGTTAGCCCTATTGACTTACTATGGACTTACCCATTCACCGAACCTTCCTCCTTCTAGCCAGGACAATTTTAATAGAGACGAAACAAGATGTACACAAAGCAAACGTTTTACTTCATAATTATCAGCTAGCTATATGTGAATCGTAAAATAGTGTAGCTAACCAGATAGTATAACAGGCAAAAATGACCTAAAACCAAGGTATATATCAATTCTTGGTGGGTAGCTAGCTAACGATTCTTCGTGGCTATCTGGCTAGCTAACAGTAGCTAGTAGCTAGCCAGTTAGCCTTAATGACTTACTATGGGCTTGCTGTCTATGCAGGTAACCGTGCCAAAATTAACACAGCATTTATTTATTAACTTATCAAGATAAAATATTGTAGTCAGGCAACATATGAGATGTGAATAGACAACATTTTAATTCCGAAGTTGGAGAAGTATTTTCTCTCGCTTCAGCTCTCGCCACCATTGATTTCAAGAAAATGTGCGTAACAGTTTGTTGTTGCGTCATATTTAAATAATATTTATTTGCATACTTTCCGTTGAAGCCTCGACGCATGCTTCAAAATATGTACAAATTGAGTATGCATTCGAGAAGTGCCCTCCATGCTCCGTTTCACATTAATTTTAATTTGGACTCGTACTCCGACCCTACCGTGCTCCAATTTGCGTGCTCGGAGCACGGTAGTATGCATTTCGAGAAACACCCCCAGTGACTGTTGGAAAGCAGACTGAACCAGGTTTTCCTCTAGGATTCTGCCTGTGCTTATCTCTATTCCGTTTTCTTTTTATCCTAAAAAACGTCCTAGTCCTTGCCGATGACAAGCATACCCATAACATGATGCAGCCACCACCATGCTTGAAAATATGAAGAGTGGTACTCAGTGATGTGTTGTGTTGGATTTGCCCCAAACATAACGCTTTGTATTCAGGACATAAAGTTAATTTCTTTGACACATTTTTTCAGTTTTACTTTAGTGCCTTATTGCTAATGGGATGCATGTTTTGGAATATTTTATTCTGTACAGGTTGATCCATCCTCAGTTCTCCTATCACAGCCATTAAATTCTAACTGTTTTAATGTCACCATTGGCCTCATGGTAAAATCCCTGAGAGGTTTCCTTCCTCTCACGTAACGGAGTTAAGAAGGACGCCTGTATCTTTTGTAGTGACTGGGTGTATTGATACACCATCCAAAGAGTAATTAATAACTTCACTATGATTTTTTATTTTTACCCATTTTATTTTTACCCATCTACCAATAGGTAGAGGCATCTTTGTGAGGCATTGGAAAACCTCCCAGGTCTTTGTGGTTGAATCTGTGTTTGAAATACACTGCTCGACTGAGGGACCTTACAGATAATTGTATGTGTGGGGTACAGAAATGAGGTAGTCATTCAAAAATCATGTTAAACACAATTATTGCACACAGTCCCTGTGTAACAGGTCAAATAATTACAGATTTTTGCAACCGTTCATTTTCTATTTTTTATTTTATTTTGTGAGTTGATTTCACCAAAATATTGTATTGTTCAGCATTTCGTGTAGTCTACAGATATTGGGAGAGTTAGTTGTGTAAGTGCGCCCTCTAGAGCTGGTTTGGTTATATGCGGAGTGGTGTCATGCTTTTCTCAGTCTGCATTCTACTCGACTGAGGGAGGTATGTGTTCACTTCGGCGTGATATAAACTTGATATACCTGTTAAAACTAAAACGTTTCAGTGCACATAGTAACTTGTATGTATATTATATGATGAGTGTACGCACATTTAATCAAGCTGTGTCGTGAATTTAGCTATTTTTGAGAGTTTGAGAAATTGCTAACTTAGCTAACCTCGTGTTTTGTTTAGCTGTAAGTTAGCAATCGTCATTCTATCCTCTTGTGTTGAAGCCCACGTTGTTCTTTTTATGTTAGGCGGATTCTGGTCGAGGGTAGAGTTTTGAACATTTTCTCTCCTTGATGTTGAACAGGTATGTATTCCCTATATCAGGTTAAAAATATGTGTTCATTTAAAATGTTTTCATGTATTGATTAGTGTTTAATGGCACTGAAAAGCTCAAATGTGAAGGATTACATGTTGCTTCGTGCATATTACTGTATGTATTACCTATTTGAAAGATGGTTTATGTCATGTTGCACAGTATTAATGTAAAGGCTAAAAGCTCAGAGTTTTTGGCAGAGATAACATGCAATATGACACATACATAAGATATACACCAGATGCAATGTTTATTTTCCAATTATGTTGTATTTTATTCCTTGGATTTTTGAATGTGATTATATTGAGTCTGCATTCTACTCGACTGAGGGAGGCGGATTCTGGTCGAGTTTTGAACATTTTCTCTCCTTGATGTTGAACAGATTGAGAGAGTTGTACACAATAAAGTGCCTTCAAGTACGCCAGTGTCTTGTCTTCAGTGCACCGGAACACAACGCAGTAGTCGGCAAGGAGCAGACCGCGCCGGCTACACCTGCAGCTTATTATTTGACTTGTTAAGCACATTTCTACTCCAGAACTTATTTAGGCTTGCCATGAATACTTATTGACTCAAGACATTTCAGCTTTTCATTTTCTTATGAATTTATGAACATTTCTAAAATCATAATTCCACTTTGACATGATGGGTTATTGTGTGTGACACAAACATATCAATTTAATCTATTTTAAATTCAGGCTGTAACAACAAATTTGGAAAACGTCAAGGGGTGTGAATACTTTCTGAAGACACTGTATACAGTCTATTCACAAACCTATCTGCTGTCCCAATGCTCTGTCTGAACGTTAATACGCCTCGCTTTCGATAAGGTTTTGGAAACATTTGGAACTTTAATTTTCTCGCTGATATGAAAGTTATCTAATACTAAAAATACACTTACTGTGCTCAGATTTAGCACAGCTGCACACTGTTCTGAATAACACAACTTCCTCCCTAGTTGCGCTGCAATGGAAGAGTGAGCGTAAGGTGGAAGTGTTTTACGTCGCCTGCTGAAAGCAACTGTATCTTTTGTGTTAGAAAAATTAAGTTCCAAAGGTTTCCAAAACCGTATCGCAAGGGAGGATTATTAACTCTTCTAAATGTTAAAACAGAGCGTCGGGATTTTAGTTCACATTGAGCCAGCTGTGATCCATATCTTCAACTGAGAACCCAATGACTCCCGAGTGGTGCAGTGGTCTAAGGCACTGCTAGAGATCCTGGTTCGAGTCCAGGCTCTGTTGCAGCCGGCCGTGACCGGGAGACCCATGGGCGGCGCACAATTGGTCCAGCGTCGTCCAAGGTAGGGGAGTGTTTGGCTGGCAGGGATGTGGGTTCGTTTCCCACGGGGGGGCCAGTATGGGGGGAAAAAAATACATAAAAAAAAAACATGTATGCATTCAGATTAGCGTCTGCTAAATGACTAAAATGTAAGAGGGATGGCTGTATGCCATCTCCAATGGTCCACACATTGCTGGCTGTGCTTTGCTACCACAGAGAAAAGAAAGGAATAATGTCCATTAGGATCCCATAAAACTGAGGCAGTATGAGAACATATTCAAGTAAGTAACTTCATTAAAAAAAAAGTGCTATTAGCTAACTAAATAGTTAGCCTACACAGTGGCCTACTTTAGGTAACTCAAATGAGCTGCCATAGCTAGCTAACGTTAGCTAACTTGACTTGTGTATATAGCTAGCTAAGTGAATTAAATATAATCAGCTAACTTCCTATCAGCTAGCTATCTTTTGATGTATTTATCATTGTAAATTAAAAACACAAGCGCTACATGCATTTATAGCTAACCGCCTTGGAAGAGGGTGAAATTGCAGCTCCAGCTGTCAGCAAAGGGAGAGTGCAGGCTACTGGGCAGGTCATTTAGTGGGAGTAATCTCCAGTTCCAGTCCCTAGGTGAATTATGAGGACAGAGAGATAACAGCAACGTAATATTCAGTGCTGTCTAATTTGGAGTATAATGCAGCCTGTTTCTTTGTGATGATTCTCCTCAGATACAGAGAGCCGTGAAACCCCCGTCTGCAGATGAAGAGGTCCCAATGAATGTCCTAAAAGAATAAGGGAACATCCTTGTAATTCTGGTGGTTATATGGGTACCAAATGTTGTATACAAAAAAACACAGAAAATACAAGGCTGGAATGGGCTACAAGACCATCGCCAAGCAGCTTGGTGAGAAGGTGACAACAGTTGGTGCGATTATTCGCAAATGGAAGAAACACAAAATAACTGTCAATCTCCCTCGGCCTGGGGCTCCATGCAAGATCTCACCTCGTGGAGTTGCAATGATCATGAGAACGGTGAGGAATCAGCCCAGAACTACACAGGTGGATCTTGTCAATGATCTCAAGGCAGTTGGGACCATAGTTACCAAGAAAACAATTGGTAACACACTACGCCGTGAAGGACTGAAATCCTGCAGCGCCCGCAAGGTCCCCCTGCTCAAGAAAGCACATATACAGGCCCGTCTGAAGTTTGCCAATGAACATCTGAATGATTCAGAGGAGAACTGGATGAAAGTGTTGTGGTCAGATGAGACCAAAATCGAGCTCTTTGGCATCAACTCAACTCGCCGTGTTTGGAGGAGGAGGAATGCTGATGCTGCCTATGACCCCAAGAACACCATCCCCACCGTCAAACATAGAGGTGGAAACATTATGCTTTGGGGGTGTTTTTCTGCTAAGGGGACAGGAGAACTTCACCGCATCAAAGGGACGATGGACGGGGCCATGTACCGTCAAATCTTGGGTGAGAACCTCCTTCCCTCAGCCAGGGCATTGAAAATGGGTCGTGGATGGGTATTCCAGCATGACAATGACCCAAAACACACGGCCAAGGTAACAAAGGAGTGGCTCAAGAAGAAGCATATTAAGGTCCTGGAGTGGCCTAGCCAGTCTCCAGACCTTAATCCCATAGAAATCTGTGGAGGGAGCTGAAGGTTCGAGTTGCCAAACGTCAGCCTCGAAACCTTAATGACTTGGAGAAGATCTGCAAAGAGGAGTGGAACAAAATCCCTCCTGAGATGTGTACAAACCTGGTGGCCAACTACAACAAACGTCTGACCTCTGTGATTGCCAACAAGGGTTTTGCCACCAAGTACTAAGTCATGTTTTGCAGAGGGATAAAATGCAAATCAATTTATAAAATGTTTGACATGCGGTTTTCTGGATTATTTTGTTGTTATTCTGTCTCTCACAGTTCAAATAAACCGACCATTAAAATTATAGACTGATCATGTCTATGTCAGTGGGCAAACGTACAAAATCAGCAGGGGATCAAATACTTTTTTCCCTCACTGTATATGCGAGAGAAAAAAAACATATGGGGGATTGGAAGTGATGCAGACAATTACATTGATGGAAGTTACAATCTATCTGCAATATTAAAGCTGATCAACCCCCCCCACCCCACCCCCACCCACAGGTAAAGTCTTCCCCCAGGATGATGCAGCGCCCCCCTTGGGCCAATCAGTGTAATTTTGTAAATGACGGATCTCTCTGGCAAGATGCATCATTCACCCAAGTTTCGTCAAAATCAGGCCAGTAGTGTCTGATATCGCGTTAGCTAGCCTCAGAAACAACCAAATGACGGCTTTTTACCAGATCCGAATATTTTCTCATGAACTGTTTATTTTCATAAATTCGGTATCCTAAGCTACAAAATATAATATTCTGCCCATATGAACGAATTGATTTTAGGCCATAGCCTAAAGAACAGCTATAGGATTTAATGAAAAGCAGCAAATAGATTAATACATTATTTCACATTCTTTAATAAAAGACTCAAAACAGAAACAGGCAATAGGGCTGGCTTCAGTTTCTCTGGCAAATAGGCCTACAAGGAAACTCGATGTATCTCGACAACGGGGCTGTACGCACAATTTTTTTCTCCACAAAAAGACACATAAGCGCATGAAACCTGTACAACACACACACACACACACAAACTGGGGGTCACTATGGGGTGTGTGACAGATACTTGGCCCATAATGGAGTCATACTCACACGCCATCAGCTGCCAGCTGCGTTGCCGTGACGCCGTTGCTAGGTTGTTGTCGGTCAGAGCTGACTGGATCTCTGTTGCTACGGTACCAATGTTTACTATGTTCACCTGAACAGGTGAGATAAGAGGAGGAGGAGAGGAGGAGGAGGAAGATGGAGGGGAAAGAGAGCGAGAGATTGAGTTGGAGGAGAAGGAAAGAGGTGAGAGGAAAAAGTAGGAGATATAGAGGAAGTTGAGTGAACTTTCAATGTTTATTTTCTTCAAATAAGTAGCACAATAAATATTCTAAATCCCCAGACTACTGTTATAAAGATGACAGACATATGACGACTGTGTTCTAGAACGCTGTGAATGCAAAGCAATACGAACAACCGGGATTCACTTCTTTCATCGTCTTGACTGGTAAAACAAATCACACACACACCTGGCATGTAAATTCAACCTATAATCTCCTTCATCTCCCAGCCACAACTCTGCCTCCAATGTTTTTTGTTTTTCTGAATCCTTAAAGGCCGACGCGATCAGTACCATTTACAGGTGTGCCTGTGTCTCTCACCCTGCCTCCTCAGCCAACCTGCAGTCTCTGTTCTCTCAAAGGTCATCACTGAAACTCTAGCACTGAAGAGCACATAGAGACAACCAGAAACAACACCAAATTTAAGTGGCTAGCTAGTTAGCTAGCGTTACCAACGTTTGGTGGTCCGTGAGACTGAGCTAGCCAAACAGCTGCGCTAGCGAACAATGTAGCAAAGGTATTAAGTACTCCTGGTGCACTGTTCAATTATTTATCCATTTTAAATATAACTTTTTTGAAGGAAATTCTGTTTTTGCCCAAGCCATCACTGGCCTTCACGCGATATAAAGTGAGCTTGTCCGAGGTGTCGGACTCAACGACAGTCAGGGTTGCCAGGTCAAACTAAAATGTCCAATGACCGACCACGCAAAACTTCCAAAAGGCCTGAAAACCAGCCCCATTTTTTTTTTTTTCACAGCAAGAGAAGAGTTGCCATATCTATACAATAAACCCCTTTTCCATAACGTTATCGAGCCAATTAAGAAGGAATATCATAGTAACTTGTAACGACGTTAGAAGCTAAATTCGTGTTTCCTCAAAATAATAACTATTGCAAGCTATGACATGACGTAATAAAGGAATTTGAATATGTGGCAAGAGAGGATTAGAACCTTTTTTTCAATTTTCGCCTAAAATCTAACTTCCTGTAGCTCAGGACCTGAAGCAAGGATATGCATATTCTTGATACCATTTGAAAGGAAACACTTTGAAGTTTGTGGAAATGTTAAATTAATGTAGGAGAATATAACACATTAGATCTGGTAAAAGATAATACAAACAAAAAAATAACATATGTTTTTCAAAAAAATATGTTTGTTCCATCATCTTTGAAATGCAAGAGAAAGGCCACAATATAATATTGCAGTTTAGGCGCAATTTAGATTTTGGCCCCTAGATGGCAGCGGTGTGTGTGTAAAGTTTCAGATTGATCCAGTGAAGCACTGCAATACTGGACTATTTTTTATCAAGTCTGCCCAAATGTGCCGAATTGGTCAATTGATACATTTTCAAGTACATACAGTGGGGAAAAAAAGTATTTAGTCAGCCACCAATTGTGCAAGTTCTCCCACTTAAAAAGATGAGAGAGGCCTGTAATTTTCATCATAGGTACACGTCAACTATGACAGACAAATCGAGAAAAAAAAATCCAGAAAATCACATTGTACGATTTTTAATGAATTTATTTGCAAATTATGGTGGAAAATAAGTATTTGGTCACCTACAAACAAGCAAGATTTCTGGCTCTCACAGACCTGTAACTTCTTCTTTAAGAGGCTCCTCTGTCCTCCACTTGTTACCTGTATTAATGGCACCTGTTTGAACTTGTTATCAGTATAAAAGACACCTGTTCACAACCTCAAACAGTCACACTCCAAACTCCACTATGGCGAAGACCAAAGAGCTGTCAAAGGACACCAGAAACAAAATTGTAGACCTGCACCAGGCTGGGAAGACTGAATCTGCAATAGGTAAGCAGCTTGGTTTGAAGAAATCAACTATGGGAGCAATTATTAGGAAATGGAAGACATACAAGACCACTGATAATCTCCCTCGATCTGGGGCTCCACGCAAGATCTCACCCCGTGGGGTCAAAATGATCACAAGAACGGTGAGCAAAAATCCCAGAACCACACGGGGGGACCTAGTGAATGACCTGCAGAGAGCTGGGACCAAAGTAACAAAGCCTACCATCAGTAACACACTACACCGCCAGGGACTCAAATCCTGCAGTGAAAGACGTGTCCCCCTGCTTAAGCCAGTACATGTCCAGGCCCGTCTGAAGTTTGCTAGAGTGCATTTGGATGATCCAGAAGAGGATTGGGAGAATGTCATATGAAACCAAAATAGAACTTTTTTGGTAAAAACTCAACTCGTCGTGTTTGGAGGACAAATAATGCTGAGTTGCATCCAAAGAACACCATACCTACTGTGAAGCATGGGGGTGTAAACATCATGCTTTGGGGCTGTTTTTCTGCAAAGGGACCAGGACGACTGATCCGTGTAAAGGAAAGAATGAATGGGGCCATGTATCGTGAGATTTTGAGTGAAAACCTCCTTCCATCAGCAAGGGCATTGAAGATGAAACGTGGCTGGGTCTTTCAGCATGACAATGATCCCAAACACACCGCCCGGGCAACGAAGGAGTGGCTTCGTACGAAGCATTTCAAGGTCCTGGAGTGGCCTAGCCAGTCTCCAGATCTCAACCCCATAGAAAATCTTTGGAGGGAGTTGAAAGTCTGTGTTGCCCAGCGACAGCCCCAAAACATCACTGCTCTAGAGGAGATCTGCATGGAGGAATGGGCCAAAATACCAGCAACAGTGTGTGACAACCTTGTAAAGACTTACAGAAAACGTTTGACCTGTGTCATTGCCAACAAAGGGTATATAACAAAGTATTGAGAAACTTTTGTTATTGACCAAATACTTATTTTCCACCATAATTTGCAAATAAATTCATAAAAAATCCTACAATGTGATTTTCTGGATTTTTGTTCCTCATTTTGTCTGTCCTAGTTGACTTGTTCCTATGATGAAAATTACAGGCCTCTCTCATCTTTTTAAGTGGGAGAACTTGCACAATTGGTGGCTGACTAAATACTTTTTTCCCCCACTGTAACTATAGAGAACATACAAAAATGATATGAAAATTCAGAATTTAAGTTTACACACTCCCAGGAATGTCATACATGATGTATCATTAGCTTATACACTAACTTTCACACATCTAGATGGCCGGGCAGGGTGGGTGTGGAGCCAGAGACAGCAGGGGTTCAAACTGTAGAACCCAGTTCCTACATTTGAATATAAAAATTGATTTTATCAAACAAAACTATGCTACATTTTATCTCTGGGACCCTCAGGATGACAAATCAGAGCAAGATTACTGAATGTAAGTACATTATTTACCTTCAGAGGTGAATGTATCAAACCAGTTGCCGTGATATGTTTTTTGTTGTTGTGCACTCTCCTCTAACAATAGGATGGTATTTTTTCTGTAATAGCTACTGTAAATTGGACAGTGCAGTTAGATTAACAAGAATTTAAGCTTTCTGCCCATATAAGACATGTCTATGTCCTGGAAAGTTTGCTGTTACTTACAACAGTCATGCTAATCACATTAGCGCACGTTAGCTCAACCGTCCCGTATACAGGACACCGATCCCGTAGAGGTTAAACTCGCCAGATCATTTTCCATCAATGGATGTTGATTTAACTTGTTTGACTGCTATGATTAAGCAATAAGGCACAAGGGTATGGTATATGGCCAATATACCATGGCTAAGGGCTGTACTTAAGCACGATGCAACGCGGAGTGCCTGGATACAGCCATTAGCCGTGGTATATTGGCCATATACCACAAACCGCCGGGATGCCTGGTTACCACTGTAATTAGAACAGTAAAAAGCGATGTTTTGTCATACCCGTGGTATATGGTCTGTTATAAACTGGGTGGTTTGAGCCCTGAATGCTGATTGGCTGACCGCCATGGTATATCAGACCGTATACCATGGGTATGACAAAACTATTATTTTTACTGCTCTAATTACGCTGGTAAACAGTTTATAATAGCAATAAGGCACCTCGGGGGTTTGTGATATATGACCAATATACCACAGTTAAGGACTACAAACCGTTATAAATGGCCTATTTGCGAGATTGACTTGTAATTTCAATAGGCGTAGGCTACAGACTAAAATCGGGGTTTATGAATGTAATTCAACTTTTGCCATTACATTTTACATTTTAGTCATTTAGCAGACGCTCTTATCCAGAGCGACTTACAGTTAGTGAATACATTTATTTATTCAATTATTTTTTATACTGGCCCCCCGTGGGAATCAAACCCACAACCCTGGCGTTGCAAACGCCATGCTCTATCAACTGAGCTACATCCCTGCCGGCCATTCCCTCCCCTACCCTGGACGACGCTGGGCCAATTGTGCGCCGCCCATGAGTCTCCCGGTCGCGGCCGGCTGCGACAGAGCCTGGATTCGAACCAGGATCTCTAGTGGCACAGTTAGCACTGCGATGCAGTGCCTTAGACCACTGCGCCACTCATGGTTTGCTTAGATAAAGGCAGGTAGCCAATAGCCCCTGATATGCCTACATCTAATTCCAGATAGTCTACAGTAGCCTAGACAAGATGTAAACTGAACGATTTAGCAGCTTGCTTAGTTCAAATTAACAGACACATTTATTCAACATGAATAGCGAGGTGATTTCTAGGTAAGAAGTGCTTGTATTTCCCAATAACCTGCTGGAACAGACTACTGAGGATGGGGTCATCATTTCAATCACTGAATTAAATATTAATAATATGTATATTAACTGAATATGCTTGTCAGCAACAGCCAGTGTTTACTTTTTTAGAATCTGTTTTACCTGTAGCCTAATCTGACTACTGTTACCGTCAATCTAATGCTTGCATAATAACACAAGGCTACGTCATAGGCTATTTATTACATTGGTTTGCCAGCTCCAGGTAGGCTACACAAGTGGCACAAATTGATTTGCAATGACTCCAGGTGATATGGTCATTTCAACATATTTATTGTATCAAATGGTAGGCTACAATGGCATATACATTAATAGGCTACTTGATGGCCAACAGAGGGAAATGTATCATTCTCCACATTTAGCCCAATGTCAGTTTCTTTGAGGACCTGTGCACCTACGTTGTAAACTTTCATTCATGGGCTAGTTTGTAGCAACCTCATGATGGGTATAGGGAACATGTGAGTATCATGTAGTAGCCTAAACCTAGCAATGTTACATTGAACTGGGTGAATGGAATATGAATGACAGTCATCCAATATGCTGTAATAGAAATAAGGCCATGCTCATAAAAAATAACAAAATCTTCCTCCCTCATCTTAGACGGCACCGACTTCCACTGAGATATACAGCTCTGGAAAAAGTTAAGAGACCACTGCAAATGTTTCTTAAATCAGCATCTCTACATGTATGACAGCTATTCCATTCCAGTGTCTGTTGAATTCCAACACAGGCACACCTCATTCTACTGAATTAGGTACTGATTAGGTGATCACCTGAACCAAATCTTATTTAACGAGGAAAAGTATAATCACTATCCTCTTGCAATAGGACCAGCTGGATGGCAAAAACAGTGCTAATAGTACCTCAAAAGTAATATTAATCAAAAAATAACTATTGACCATGCCAAAAGAGTTGAAAAGGAATGTTTTGAGTGAGGAAAAGAAGGGTTCAATTCTGGCTTTACTGGCAGAGGGATACAGTGAGCGTCAGGTTGCTTCCATCCTTAAAATTTCAGTGATGGCGGTTCATAAGAACAAGTTCAAGCAGCAGACATTGGGGACAACAAAGCTACAGACCGGCAGAGGGCGAAAACGACTCTCTACTGACCGGGATGACCGCCAACTCATTCGAATGTCACTCAACAACCGTAGGATGACATCAAGTGACCTACAAAAAGAATGGCAAACGGCAGTTGGGGTGAAGTGCACGGCGAGGACGGTTCGAAACAGGCTCCTAGGGGCAGGGCTGAAGTCGTGCAAAGCTAGAAAAAAGCCCTTCATCAATGAGAAGCAAAGAAAAGCCAGGCTGAGGTTTGCAAAAGACCATAAGGATTGGACCGTAGAGGACTGGAATAAGGTCATCTTCTCTGATGAGTCCAATTTTCAGCTTTGCCTAACACCTGGTCATCTAATGGTTAGACTGAGACCTGGAGAGGCCTACAAGCCACAGTGTCTCGCACCCACTGTGAAATTTGGTGGAGGATCGGTGATGATCTGGGGGTGCTTCAGCAAGGCTGGAATCGGGCAGATTTGTCTTTGTGAAGGACGCATGAATCAAGCCATGTACAAGGTTGTCCTGGAAGAAAACTTGCTTCCTTTTGCTCTGACATTGTCCCCCAACTCTGAGGATTGGTTTTTCCAGCAGGACAATGCGCCACGCCACACAGCCAGGTCAATCAAGGTGTGGATGGAGAACCACCAGATCAAGACCCTGTCATGGCCAGCCCAATCTCCAGACCTGAACCCCATTGAAAACTTCTGGAATGTGATCAAGAGGAAGATGGATGGTCACAAGCCATCAAACAAAGCCGAGCTGCTTGAATTGTTGCGCCAGGAGTGGCATAAAGTCACCCAACATCAATGTGAAAGACTGGTGGAGAACATGCCAAGATGCATTAAAGCTGTGATTGAAAATCAGGGTTATTCCACCAAATATTGATTTCTGAACTCTTCCTAAGTTAAAACATTAGTATTGTGTTGTTTAAAAATGAACATGAACTTATTTTCTTTGCATTATTCAAGGTCTTTTTTTGACCAGTTGTCATTTTCTGCAAATAAATGCTCTAAATGACAATATTGTTATTTGGAATTTGGGAGAAATGTTGTCAGTAGTTTATAGAATAAAACGAAAATGTTATTTTTACCCAAACACATACCTATAAATAGTAAAACCAGAGAAACTGATAATTTTGCAGTGGTCTCTTAATTTTTTTCCAGAGCTGTATACACACACACACACACACACATATGTATTTGTTATTTGTTATTTTATTTTTTATAACGTATGTTCTTTACAATTCAAAACAAAAAAGTGGAATATTGCTTAATATTATGGTTAAATGATGCAAATTGCTTGTCTGTGTATGGGTCTTCAATTGTGGCCAGCCCTTTCTCCCTCTATTCAACAAACACCTTATAATAATAAATAAATAATTGGTCACTTAGCAGACGCTCTTATCCAGAGCGACTTACAGCGACTTATCAGACCAAGGTGGAACAAAAATAATGATTAAAACATATTGGAGTGTATACAGAGTTATCTGGCACCTTGTAAAACGTCTTCAATCTGGTTTAGAATGCTTAAAACAATTTCTCAAACAAAGTTATTGCCTGTAAATTTGTTTGAACAATCTGCCTTGGAGAAAATCAAGTCTGGAAAAGACTCCTCTGGTCCTCTGTAGCTCAATTGGTAGAGCACGGCGCTTGTAACGCCAGGGTAGTGGGTTCGATCCCCGGGACCACCCATACGTAAAAATGTATGCGCACATGACTGTAAATCGCTTTGGATAAAAGCGTCTGCTAAATGGCATATTATTATTATTACTAATTTTGTTGTGATCCTGACTTCCATATTTAGCCACAGGGGGGAGTCAGTGTCTAACACGTCAGGGAAACCCAACAATTGCAACAACAAAACATGATAATCCTAGGTCCCCCTAGTACTTTTTCCCCTCATGTAGTTATCTATTCCATTATTGCTGGTATGTACCTTTTAGTAAAATCCCTGATTATTCATACTTTAACAAATATTGATACATTTCAAATATGCTTTCAAGAAAACGTCTTGCATGGTGTTTCTTATCAATTTTGACCTAATGCTGCTCATTCATGATGTTGATTTAATCTTGTATGGAGTAATGATAAACAGTTGACTCCTGATGAAGAATTGATTCCCCCAGATCATCCTATAGTAATGATAACCACTGTTTATCTACATGTAGTCATCGTTTTCCTTTACTACTGGTCTGTAGTCTGCCTTGCACAGTAAACTCCCATCCAGCTGGCGGCGCTGCTCACCACTCACTAGAACCAATGAGTTTTCTACAATTATTTCACTAGACCACGGAAGTGGGATTGGAGACGAGTTTGTTTTGATTTTGCATTCCTTTTGTAGAGTGAAGAGAGACATACTGACTAAACTAAATAGGCTACCCAGCTCTCATTCAATTGAAAAATGTCTAAACTACAGTCGTTGAGTGTGTTTTTAAATGAGCGTTTAACGGCGTCTGATGTGGAGATTTTCGGGGCAGTTGAGAAAACGGTAGTGGAGTACCAGGAGGAGAATGATCGGCTACGGAGAATGCTGCGTTTGACTCCGGAGATACAACTATGTCGGATAGGTTCGTATGTAGATCTACTGATAGTTAGCTATAGTGCTACTCAATTAATTAACCATTTAAGAGATCACCATTTCAACAATTTTAAGAATAAAAAAACATATATTTTACAGTTGTCTTTGTCACGAAAAGCTGATTTTGAAATAGCGTACAGCTTATCTGCACTCAGTTATGTCAAAAAAAAGGCTGGCTAAGAGCCATTTTATGCTTGATCCGAAAATGTGATTGGAGGCGTCGTATGAATGGTGTGACGCAATTGTGAAGCCCCCCAGAGGCTAAATTGAGCTCTGTATGGCATTGCCGTGCACCTCTCAAATGTTGTAGCAATGCGGAGGGCGCCATATAGTTCCGCATTGACATGATTAGTTGACGGTAGGCTTGACAACACCTCTGCGAAGCCAAGAAGTATGAATGCCCTGACTTCTGCAGAGGCCATGTCACCGTAAATGCTGCAAGGCCAATGCAGACGTCGGTGCAAGTGTTGGTTGAGGAAAGTTTTATTATTATTATTTTTTGGGTATCCTAGCAACCTTCTGAAATGACCTAGAGCAGTGTTTCCCAACTCCAGTCCTCAAGTACCCCCAACAACACATGTTTTTCCTTGTAGCCCAAGGACAAATTGGGCTTGGGCTACAAGAATCACCTGATTCATTATTATTTTTTTATTTTAATTTAATTTTAATTTCACCTTTATTTAACCAGGTAAGCCAGTTGAGAACAAGTTCTCATTTACAACTGCGACCTGACCAAGATAAAGCTATGACAAACGGTATCCAAGTGTTTAAGAGTAGAGGCAGCTGCACTTTTGATAAATAGTATCACCATAATCATCAATAACAGGGAGAAGGGTTGACTGCGCAATCTGCTTCCTGCTAACTAGAGAGAGACAAGATATGTTTCTTAACAAGCTCATTCGTATGTTTTTTTTTTTTTTTACGATAAATCATTGTCAACCCAAATACCAAGGTATTTGTATACAGGGACTTGTTTAATTATAGAACCAGCCGATGAGTAAATATGTAATCCATCTGAAACAATCTGACGAGAACTAAGTACACGTTTTTAAAATCAGTAAGGGCTTCCTGCACGACTGCAAAAATCGGACTGTAGCATTGTCACAGCCAGGTCAAATCAAATCAAATTTTATTTGCCACATGCGCCGAATACAACAGGTGTAGTAGACATTACAGTGAAATGCTTACAAGCCCTTAACCAACAATGCAAAGTAAAAAAAATAAACTAAAAAAAGTGTTAAGCAAAAAAAATTTCAGCAAATAACTAAAGAGCAGCAATAAAATAAAATAACAGTAGAGAGGCTATATACAGGGGGGTAACGGTGCAGAGTCAATGTGCGGGGGCACCGGCTAGTCGAGGTAATTTAGGTAATATGTACATGTGGGTAGAGTTAAAGTGACTATGCATAAATAATAAACAGAGTAAAAAGAGGGGGATGGGGTGGGGTGGGGTGGGGTGGTGGGGGGGGGGGGGGGGGGGGCAGTGCAAATTGTCCGGGTTGCCATGATTAGCTGTTCAGGAGTCTTATGGCTTGAGGGTAGAAGCTGTTGAGAAGCCTTTTGGACCTAGACTTGGCGCTCCGGTACCGCTTGCCGTGCGGTAGCAGAGAGAACAGTCTATGACTAGGGTGGCTGGAGTCTTTGACAATTTTTAGGGTCTTCCTCTGACACCGCCTGGTATAGAGGTCCTGGATGGCAGGAAGCTTGGCCCCAGTGATGTACTGGGCCGTACGCACTACCCTCTGTAGTGCCTTGCAGTCGGAGGCCGAGCAGTTGCCATACCAGGCGGTGATGCAACCAGTCAGGATGCTCTCGATGGTCAGCGGTCGGGGCAATTGTGTACATAATAGTATCATCCGCATATAGTTGAAATGTAATTTTTTTTTACAGATTGACCAATAGCATTTATATAAATAGTGAAAAGAACAGGTCCTGCAGAACACCTTTCTGTACGTCAATAAATTCAGACTTAACCCCATCAATCCCGATGGCCTGAGTTCTGTCACTAAGATAATCATGAAGCCCAGAACAGGCGTCAGAGCTCAGGCCTATCGAGGACAACGTATTCAATAAAATAGCACGATCAACAGTATCAAAAAGCTATTGACAGGTCCACGAACAAAGCAGCTCATTTCATTTTAGTGTCTAAAGTATTGACAAAAATCATTAAAAAACTATAGTGGTTGCTGTACTAGTGCTATGCCCAGGCCTAAACCCTGATTGGTTTACATTCAAAATACATTTCTCAGATTAAAAAAAGGAGCAAAGTTGTACATTTACCAAGGATTCAAGAATCTTAGCTAGACAAGGAAGCCTTGAAATGGGGCGATAATTATCAAGATCACTACTATCCCGGCCCTTATGGAGTGGCAGCACAAGAGCCGATTACCATACTTTGGGAATACTTCCTGATAACAATGTTAAATAAAAAAATGTGGGTTATCGAGCCAACAATGATGGGCGCTGAACACTGAAGCAGACCTGGATCCAATTGGTTGGCTCCTGGGGATTTCTTATTGTCTATTGCTATCAAAGCATCCAGGACTTCTTCTTCTGTAAATAGCCTTAAAGAAAAGCTTTGACTATCATTTCTCAGATCATTCAGCAAGTTTCCCCTATCGGCATCCACCCCAATATCATTGTGAGTATTGGCTTAGACGTTATTCCAAAGAGAGAGCCCGCTGAAATAAAATGGTGATTAAATGCTTCAATGATGGCATTTTTTTTCTTCTCGTAATTAGGCCTGTGCCTGAATTCATTTGTTGTGGCAGAGAGGAGGAAGTAGAACCCTTCAGGGATAGTTTATCAAAGGGATAAAATCATATTTGCGTGAAATGCCCCTTACCCTGGGTTGAGGTGTCCGAATCCACAATAAGACATTGTTTACATCAGCCTGGAGTTAGCATAATTAGCTAGCATTGTCCAAATCCATGAATTGAAACGGTTGGACCGCTATAGCAAATGCTGCATTTGCCAGCTACTACCATACCCCGTTCAAAGGCACTTTATTCTTTTGTCCCCCTCTGAATGGCACTAATACACAATCCATGTCTCAGTTTTATCAAAGCTACAAAAAAAAAATCCTTCTTTAACCTGTCTCCTCCCCTTCATCTACACTGATTGAAGTGGATTTAACAAGTGACATCAATAAGGGATCGTAGCTTTCACCAGGATTCACCTGGTCAGTGCCTTGCAAAAGTATTCATCCCCCTTGATGTTTTTCCTATTTTGTTGCATTACAACCTGTAATTTTAATGGATTTCTATTTGGATTTCATGTAATGGATATACACAAAATAGTCAAAATTGGTGAAGTGAAATGAAAAAAATAACTTGTTTCAAAAAATTCTAAAACATAAATAACGGAAAAGTGGTGCGTGTATATGTATTCACCCCCTTTGCTATGAAACCCCTAAATAAGATCTGGTGCAACCAATTACCTTCACATAATTAGTTAAATAAAGTCCACAAGTGTCACATGATCTGTCACATGATCTCAGTGTATATATACACCTGTTCTGAAAGGCCCCAGAGACTGCAACACCACTAAGCAAGGGGCACCACCAAGCAAGCGGCACCATGAAGACCAAGGAGCTCTCCAAACAGGTCAGGGACAAAGTTGTGGAGAAGTACAGATCAGGGTTGGGTTATAAAAAAATATCAGAAACTTTGAACATCCCACGGAGCACCATTAAATCCATTATTAAATAATATAAAGAATATGGCACCACAACAAACCTGCCAAGAGAGGGCAGCCGACCAAAACTCACGGACCAGGCAATGAGGGCATTAATCAGAGAGGCAACAAAGAGACCAAAGATAACCCTGAAGGAGCTGCAAAGCTCCACAGTGGAGATTGGAGTATCTGTCCATAGGACCACTTTAAGCCATACACTCCACAGAGCTGGGCTTTACGGAAGAGTGGCCAGAAAAAAGCCATTGCCTAAAGAAAAAAATAAGTAAACATGTTTGGTGTTCGCCAAAAGGCATGTGGGAGACTCCCCAAACATATGGAAGAAGGTACTCTGGACAGATGAGACTAAAATTGAGCTTTTTGGCCATCCCCTGTAGTTCAGTTGGTAGAGCATGGCGCTTGCAACGCCAGGGTTGTGGGTTCGTTTCCCACGGGGGGCCAGTATGAAAAATTTATGCACTCACTAACTGTAAGTCGCTCTGGATAAGAGCGTCTGCTAAATGACTAAAATGTAAAATCAAGGAAAATGCTATGTCTGGCACAAATCCAACAAGCATGGTGGTGGCAGCATCATGCTGTGGGGATGTTTTTCATCGGCAGTGACTGGGAAACTGGTCCGAATTGAAGGAATGCTGGATGGCGCTAAATACAGGGAAATTCTTGAGGGAAACCTGTTTCAGTCTTCCAGAGATTTGAGACTGGGACGGAGGTTCACCTTCCAGCAGGACAATGACCCTAAGCATACTGCTAAAGCAACACTTGCGTGGTTTAAGGGGAAACATTTCAATGTCTTGGAATGGCCTAGTCAAAGCCCAGACCTCAATCCAATTGAGAATCTGTGGTATGACTTAAAGATTGCTGTACACCAGCAGAACCCATCCAAAACGAAGGAGCTGGAGCAGTTTTGCCTTGAAGAATGGGCAAAAATCCCAGTGGATAGATGTGCCAAGCTTATAGAGACATACCCCAAGAGACTTGCAGCTGTAATTGCTGCAAAAGGTGGCTCTACAAAGTATTGACTTTGGGGGGGGGGGGGGGTGAATAGTAATGCACGCTCAAGTTTTCAGTTTTTTTTGTCTTATTTCTTGTTTGTTTCACAATAAAAAAATATTTTGCATCTTCAAAGTGGTAGGCATGTTGTGTAAATCAAATGATACAAACCCCCCAAAAAATCCATTTTAATTCCAGGTTGTAAGGCAACAAAGTAGGAAAAATGCCAAGGGGGGTGAATACTTTCGCAAGCCAATGTATGTCATGGAAAGACCAGGTGTCCTTAATGTTTTGTACACTCAGAGTATATCATAACCATTGCATAATAAGTTCCTCAACCTTTTGTTGCCGAAGTAACCAAATGACCATGCACATCTCTCATTTCATTGGGCCTATTAGGTACGATTACGTTTTTGCTCTCCGAATGGGAGTGCGGTTTATAACATACAGTTGAACAGACAGTTGATATTTTGCATTGAAGTGTATAGGCAACCACTGTAAGTATAGCCTACTGTAGTAACACAAAATAATCAGAGTAGAAAATGTTTCAGAATTCGCGTGCAGTGCAGCATTATTAAAGGTTTGGGTAAAGTAAATGCAAAACATTATTGAATTTAAACAATCTGTTTACAGGTCCCACTAAAATGTGCAATTGTTTGTCTTTCACAAATGGTCAAATAGGCTACAGCAAAATGTCAATGCAAATAGAAAACATTCTGCCAACACCTCCAAGTTCGCCATTTCTTTTAGATACTGTCTCGGGCTAATTCCAATACTTCCAAAGTATACAGCAAAATAAGGGCGTTATTGTCACCATAAAGGGTGAATGATGGGAGTTTTTCAGTTATAATGCTCGCTCACACGCTCAAAAGTTTTTATAACGGGAAACATGCGTATGTATGGCAAGCATCAAGTTGATCAATCTCAATATTTGATTATATTATTTTATATACGTGTGCAGCCGTAGAATCGTGTGCAGATATTTACTGTAAAATGTACACAACGGTTTTATAAATGAGGCCCGAGCTTCTTAAGTAGTCTATGTGAATCTGGGCACTGATCATTCAGAAATCCTATTAAAATGCTATTCCTAATTCTATGTCTGTATGAGTCTTCCAGTGAGGACGTTGTCAAGGAAATAGATGCGGATTGATTACCGGAGTGAACAAAAACTGACCGGTAAACATAGGAAGTATTAAAGCATTCCAAAATTATAATTTTATTGCAAAAATAACATTCTCGCGGGGAAGACACCATGGACAGGTTGAGAGAATCATTACACAGGTGCAACTTTTGCTGGGGACAATAAAAGGCCACTCTAAAATGTGCAGTTTTGTCACACAACACAATGCCACAGATGTCTCAAGTTTTGAGGGAGCGTGTAATTGGCATGCTGACTGCAGGATTGTCCACCAGAGCTGTTGCCAGAGACTTGAATGTTCATTTCTCTACCATAAGCTGCCTCCAACGTAGTTTTAGAGAATTTGGCAGTGTGTCCAACCGGCCTCACAACCACAGACCACATGTATGGCGTCGTGTGGGGGCGAGCGGTTTGCTGATGTCAACGTTGTGAACAGAGTGCCGCATGGTGGCTGTGGGGTTATGATATGGGCAGGCATAAGCTACGGACAACGAACACAATTGCATTTTATCGATGGCAATTAGAATACACAGAGATACCATGACGAGATCCTGAGGTCCATTGTCGTGCTCTGAAGATCTAAACCCGAGGTAGAAGGACACAGAACAGGTACCTCCGGATCCGATCTCGAAGCGGAAGCCCCCAGGGATGAAGGCGCCAGAACCTCTGAATCCAGGGTGGCAAAGCTGTTTGAAGTCTGTAGGGGAGGCCTCTAGGGAGGCCCCTATTGCCAAAGGCCGCTGCTTTCTACTTTCATGGTAGGTGATGTGCCTCCATGGCTGGTTAGTCAAGAATAGGAACATCCACTAAAGTCATCCAGAAGCAACCTACAAACTCCATTCTCCTGGGAAGAGGGAGACCCCTTCGGGGAGGGATCCCTGCAGAGCACCAGCCAGTCGCCTGTGGAGAGACGACACGACGGCGACACTCACACCAGGCCAGAGAGGCCTCCAGCTACTGGAGTAGAAGGGAAAGTAGGCTGGAATGGATTCCCCAGTAGCTTGTGGAAGTTCGCTACTTGTTGGGCATGGATTCCCCAGTAGCTTGTGGAAGTTCGCTTCTTGTTGGGCATGGATTCCCCAGTAGCTTGTGGAAGTTCGCTTCTTGTTGGGCATGGATTCCCCAGTAGCTTGTGGAAGTTCGCTTCTTGTTGGGCATGGATTCCCCAGTAGCTTGTGGAAGTTCGCTTCTTGTTGGGCATGGATTCCACAGTAGCTTGTGAAAGTTCGCTTCTTGTTGGGCATGGATTCCCCAGTAGCTTGTGGAAGTTCGCTTCTTGTTGGGCATGGATTCCCCAGTAGCTTGTGGAAGTTCGCTTCTTGTTGGGCATGGATTCCCCAGTAGCTTGTGGAAGTTCGCTTCTTGTTGGGCATGGATTCCCCAGTAGCTTGTGGAAGTTCGCTTCTTGTTGGGCATGGATTCCCCAGTAGCTTGTGGAAGTTCGCTTCTTGTTGGGCATGGATTCCCCAGTAGCTTGTGAAAGTTTGCTACTTGTTTGCTAAGAGTAGCCACTTCACCCCTGTAGTCCTCTGCAAGCAAACAGTTGTTACGTTGAAAGTCCGGAATAATCCACATAGTCCCGGAATAGATCCACAATAAACACAGCTGCTGCAGCATCACAAGGGGATTCATGGCTGATTTTAGGATGAAATCGTCAACCATGTTACGGTCAACCATGTTACGGTCAACCATGTTACGGTCAACCATGTTACGGTCAACCATGTTACGGTCAACCTTGTTACGGTCAACCATGTTACGGTCAACCATGTTACGGTCAACCATGTTACGGTCAACCTTGTTACTTGGTACTTAATAGGCCCTTACTATAGTATTTTTGTATTTAACCTCGAGATGGGAAAACATATTTTTATTAAGTAGAACGTTTTCTTTGACAGAATATTACAAAATAAGTAAAATAAAAGTTTTTTTTTTTTGACCAAGTTAATGTACCCAAAAGGTACTCAATTGGTGGATCAACCCAAGTATTATCAAGTGTTACAGGAGTGTCTAGACAGCCTACTTTTAACACTGTACTCGCTAAGTCTAGGGGTTCTAGGCTTGCCTAATGGTTCTGGAATCAGAATGAATGTGTGCATTAATGTGAAAAGTAAGCGTAGGTGACAAGGGAGACAGCTACCTTACCTTGGTCCAGGGAGACAGCAACCTTACTTTGGTCCAGGGAGACAGCAACCTTAACTTGGTCCAGGGAGACGGCAACCTTAACTTGGTCCAGGGAGACAGCAACCTTAACTTGGTCCAGGGAGACGGCAACCTTACCTTGGTCCAGGGAGACAGCAACCTTACCTTGGTCCAGGGAGACAGCAACCTTACCTTGGTCCAGGGAGACAGCAACCTTAACTTGGTCCAGGGAGACGGCAACCTTACCTTGGTCCAGGGAGACCGCTACCTTACCTTGGTCCAGGGAGACCGCTACCTTATCTTGGTCCAGGGAGACAGCAACCTTAACTTGGTCCAGGGAGACAGCTACCTTACCTTGGTCCAGGGCCAGCTCAGTCTTGACTCCTTTGGGTTGGCGAGCTCAAGCTGATTATTATTTGTTCAGATGATGAAAATAACTATAAATACAAGAAAGGAAAGTACAAACAGGCACGCCTAAACTAAAGGTTCAAAGTGAAAATAAAAGACCTTATGGCCACCAAACAAAACCAGCAGCAATACTGATTGACGATCACCTAAATTGGCAGCACCTGATGTGCTTATCAAGGCTTGGCAGCACAGCACTTGGACCTGGTTGCTGGCTTCTGGCCCTGGTGGAATGAAGTGTGGCAGTGGTAGTGGTAGGTAGTGATAGTAGTAGTGGTAGTGGTAGTGATAGTGGTAGTGGTAGTGGTGGTGGTGGTGGTAGTGGTAGTGATAGTGGTAGTGATAGTGGTAGCGATAGTGGTAGCTATAGTGGTTGTGGTAGTGATAGTGATAGTGATAGTGGTAGCGGTAGTGGTAGTGATAGTGGTAGTGATAGTGGTAGTGATAGTGGTAGTGATAGTAGTAGTGGTAGTGGTAGTGGTAGTGATAGTGGTAGTGATAGCGGTAGTGGTAGTGGTAGTGGTAGTGTAGTATAGTGATAGCGATAGTGGTAGTGATAGTGGTAGTGGTAGTGATAGTGATAGCGGTAGTGGTAGTGGTGGTTGGTAGTAGTAGTGATAGTGGTAGTGATAGTGGATGGTAGCTGGTAGTGAGAATAGCTTGGTAGTGGATGAGCGGTTATTGGTAGTGAACGTTGGTAGTGATAGCTGGTAGTGGTAGTAGATATGGTAGTGCGGTATGTGGTAGGTAGATAGTGGTAGTGATAGCGTGGTAGGTGTGTAGTGATAGTGGTAGTGGTAGTGATAGCGATAGTGGTAGTGGTAGTGATAGTGATAGGGGTAGCGGTAGCGGTAGTGATAGTGGTAGTGGTAGCGATAGTGGGGTTGGAGCGATAGTGGTAGTGATGGGTGGAGTGGTAGTGGTGTAGTGATAGTGCGATAGTGGTAGTGGTAGTGTAGTGTGGTAGCGGGAGGGTAGTGATGAGTGGTAGGTGGTTAGGGGAGTGAGGTGGAGTAGCGGGTATAAGTGGGAGTGTAGTGGATAGTGGTAGTGGTAGTGGTAGGTAGTTGGTAGCGGTAGCGTAGTGGTAGCGGGTAGTGGTAGTGGTAGGGGTAGGATAGGGTAGGTACGGATATGAGATGATAGTGGTAGTGTGGAGGGTAGTGTAGGGTGGTAGTGTAGGGTAGTGAGTGATAGCGGTAGTGATAGCGTAGGTAGTGGTAGTGTAGTGAGTGATAGGGTGGTAGCGGTAGTGATAGGGGTAGTGGTAGGATAGTGGTAGGGGTAGTGTAGTGGTAGTGTAGGTGTAGTGGAGCGGTAGCGATAGTGGATAGCGATAGTGGTAGTGATAGCGGTAGTGGTAGTGATAGAGGGGTAGTGGTAGTGGTAGCGATAGTGATAGTGATAGTGATAGTGGTAATGGTAGTGGTAGTGGTAGCGGTTGAAGTGTAGGTGGTAGTTAGTGAGGGTGTTAGCGGTTAGTGATAGTGGTGTGGTAGTGGTGGGTAGCGGATAGGTGGTAGTAGTGTAGCAGGTAGTGGTAGTGGTAGTGTAGCGAGGTAGTGTAGTGATAGTGGTAGTGGTAGTGGTAGCGGTAGTGGTAGTGGTAGCGGTAGTGATAGTGGGTAGTGGTAGCGGTAGTGGTAGCGGTAGTGGTAGCGGTAGTGGTAGTGGTAGCGATAGTGGTAGTGATAGTGGTAGCGATAGTGGTAGCGATAGTGGTAGCGGTAGTGATAGTGGTAGCGGTAGTGGTAGCGGTAGTGGTAGCGGTAGTGGTAGCGATAGTGGTAGTGGTAGTGGTAGCGATAGTGGTAGCGGTAGTGGTAGCGATAGTGGTAGTGATAGCGGTAGTGATAGTGGTGGTGATAGTGATAGTGGTAGCGATAGTGATAGTGATAGTCGTATTTTCAATGGACCCTCTGCTCGACCTCAGGCACAAGCTTTATCTATGGCATTGGAGGTTTGAGTCCACTTGGCTATATAGATCATATAGTTCTATAATTCATGTGTATGATTCAAGTGTTCTATTTAATGCTGTGCTATATAGATAACCTCTGCTCCTCCTCTCCTTCCCTCCAGACTCCCTGCAGCTCTCTGTCTCTGAAGAGGAGGTTCCCCCTGAGCAGCAGCACTGTGAGCAGGAGTGGAGCCCCAGTCTGGGGCAGGAGGACCCAGAGCCCACCCAGATTAAAGAGGAACAGGAGGAACTCAGGACCAGTCAGGAGGAAGAGCAGCTTCAAGTGCTATTTGATACCAAAGACTCTATATTCACTCCTTCCTGTGTGAAAAGTGAATGTGATCAGGAGGACCCATGTCAAGAAGCCATACTAGCTGAATACCCAACTCTCAGTCCACTGAAAACGTCTAAACTACAGTCGTTAGGTGTGTTTTTAAATGAATGTTTAAAGACGTCTGCTGCTGTGGAGATTTTCGGGGCAGTTGAGAAAACGGTAGTGGAGTACCAGGAGGAGAATGATTGGCTACGGAGACTGCTGCGGATCACGCCGGAGATACAACTATGTAGAATAGGTTTGTATGTTATTAGATCTACTGATAGTTAGCTAGAGTTCTACCCAATGATTACACTTTTTAGGCTTTCAGACAATTTTAAGTAGTAGCTTTTTTTAAATACTTTTATAATAATAATAATAATATGCCATTTAGCAGACGCTTTTATCCAAAGCGACTTACAGTCATGCGTGCATACATTTTTGTGTATGGGTGGTCCCGGGGATCGAACCCACTACCTTGGCGTTACAAGCGCCGTGCTCTACCAGCTGAGCTACAGAGGACCACTTTTACCGTGAATGGATCAAAGTAGCACTGACGTGCCAGTGCATTCCCTTATTTGGACAGCAGTGTCACATATTTGTCCATTGACGAATGTTGAATAAAATTATATTTGAACTATTTTCCAGAAAGTTGGTCCTTCTGTTGCCCTTCAGACTCCAGTGCTCCATTGGAGTTATTCAAAGTCCATTTTGATTAGCTGAGGACGATGATTTGGTCAAGTGTGAAAACGCTTTTTCTAGAAACAATTGATCCTTGTTTGCAATAAGGTTTTGGAAACCTCGGACACACAACTTCATAGTTTTCCCTAAATAACTTTACAAAAACAAAAGGTACACTTACGGTTAGCTGTTTTACCACAGATTTCCACAGAGGTGTTTTGATGTAACAGCTACAAGACTATATGTTGTTCCCTCCCTTGTTTACGTTAGCTCAGGAAGTGTCATAGTTCAGGTAAATGTGCAACGCAAAATACCTCTGTGGGAATTTTGTTTTAAATTTGTGTACAGTAAGTGTTTCTTTTTTGTCTGTAAAGTTATTTGGGGAAATATGAAAGTAACGTTTCTAAGGTTTCCAAAACCATTGTGCAAGCAAGGATTAAAGAGCGGTTAGACAGAAAGTCAGCTGGGCTTTTGTACACGTTGGCCGTGGTGTGTTCCATTGTAGGCATGAGAACCCAAGTGAAGGAGAGTAAATACCTAGCTATCTG